GGAAGTCATGCTGTGGGGTAATCGCGGATGAAAACACTGTGTCACCTTGTCCTGACCTGTAATTGCATATTTACAAGTGGCCAACAAAGAGGCAGCTTTATTGCGGTACTATCTAATTTTGATGATTTGTTAACAACACTTGACCCTCGCAGGCTGACAACAGTACTTACTCTAATAAAACCCCAGCTAAACATGCTGAGTGGAGGCTTCACATATTGCGAGCCGGCGGGATGGGGAAGTCTTCCCCAGTGTCCTGCTGTTAGATGATAGTTTGTCAGGCCGACTGCGTCTGATCAAACGCACTGAACATGAAACAAGCTAGAAAAATTTCTGGATCATATCCCAAATGTTAATGTCTCTGAAGAGCTTATGTGTGCATCTTTTCAGAAAAAAAAGGGAAAAATTAATTTCTGTGTCAGGGGACATTAAAAATATACCCACACTAAAACTGTGAGATGTGATGGTTCCCATGTGCAGCAAAAATAATGAGAACACGAAGTTGGAGCTGGGGCTGGATCCTGAGCATTAAAAAACATTACAGGAGGTACATTATGGTTTCTGCAGACTGCCCAGCTTTCCTCCAACAAAAATACTTTTTTTTCCAGAGTTCTAAGACTTGGAGAGTTGAGGAAATGTTGAACACTGCAGAAATTATCTAGATGAATGATCCTCTATGTAGACAGGGTGTCTCAAAACCTTAGATCTGTCAGGTCAAGATATAATCATGCTTACATAGTCTGTGTGATCCCAGCAGGTGCTGATCGTGGATCAAGAACAGGTAAGTAGAAAGAGAAGAAGACTGAGAGAAAAAGCTCAAGAAAATTTGAGACATGAAGTCTCACTTTCATTATGAGAACTTATGAGAACTTATGGTTATGGTTCATTTTATTTGACCTCAAAAGTCACTTCATTCTCAACGCCACTGAGGAAACTGAAGCAACCCCAAGCTTAAGATACAAGACAACTGCCCTCTGTTTTATGTATTTGAAGGTACGGTTGGTAATCACGTCAAACTAGCATGAATTTGAATGAAGCATCTCCTCAGGACTTCGTCTAGCTGCCCCCGCTCACATGTAAGAGCACTGCGGTCAGCTGACTCAAAGCCACAGACTCAAAACTTTGGGACATTAGATTGGGAAGTCTTCGAACAGCAGAGACAAAGAAGGTAACGTTAGCATTGGGATGACCACATAACTAGCAACATGGCTAAATACTTGATCAAGATTAAAAATCGCCCTGAAACAAATCCTGAACGTACATTTCCAACAGAAAATAAGCGACTTTGGCATCACTTTTAAAGCCATTCTCTTCATCACTGAAAAGCTGTCCCGATGTTGACTTTCGTTGTTGCTTTTTTAAACTCTGTCTTGCTTCGGCCGTCTCTGTCTTCGTCTTTCTTTTCTTGCTCTTTTTTGAAGGAGGAGCAGTCACCATAAATCTGGGTATAGGTAGTTCCTCTGCCATTCTATGGCATAGCTGTATCCCTCTCAGCTTGGCTACGGCATTGAATCAGGGCCAGCACATACCGGCGACATGAACGCGCAGGAGGCGAGCACAGGATTTGATTGGTTTAAAAATGTGGGACCCACACGATGTGATTGGTTGGAGTTTTCCAAGTTTTACTCCTGCTGTAGATCGCGGCTATGTTTCGCTCTTTTTTCAGAACACATCACGTATTGATTGCCATCAGAACATAAAGATAATTTTAACTGGAATAACAAAAAGTGAATCTAAATCAGATTACCAACCCTACCTTTAAATCAGACAAACTCACAAGAGACATCAGGACAGCCTGAATATTAGGGACTCAGTAAGAGCAGCAGGCGTCCAAAAAAGTGAAATTTCCAGCACCTCTATATGAGACTTGAGGAGTTTCTGAGCACCAACACCTACTCTGCGAGAAGGAACGCCACAGCGGGTCATCCTGCCCGTGCTCTCAGACTTCATCACACCTGTACGACCGTGTAATGTCAGCCACACCTCTGTCTTCATCATCGTTCATCCCTCAGCATGGCGGCTACTTTGTGACTTTGCACTCCATCCTTTTCTTCTCATACAAACTAATTCATTTGTATTCCTTCACATTTACATAATTCACGAGTATTTGCATTTAGCTTTTCTCTAATATAATCCAAACCATGTAATCGCTGCAGTGCAGTCATGCCTGTGCAACATTTTCTGCTCACTCTGCAGAACCCCATCATTATCATTACTTACTGTCCGTGCTGTAAATATTTAGTGTGTAAAGCAAACTGGTGGCAGTCTCTTGGTACAATAACCAGTTTATCTTTAGTATGAAGCTTACATAGTGTATATATTTGCTTATAATGAAACTCTATTCTTACCTTCTAGGTATGTTATTGTGTCCCTTGTGGTGAGAGAGCAGTGGGTGCTTGTTGGGCTACGGAATAAAACACATGGAGAAGATTTGAGATGTACGAAAGAAGATTAGGGCCACATAAGGAGAAAAAATAACTACAGGAATGAAATTGAAGTCGAAATTTCGAGATTGAAGTCGAAATTTTGAGATTAAAGTTGAAATTATGACATTAAAGTTGACGTAAATAAAGACGAAATTTCATGAATAAGGTGTAATGTTGAGATTAATAATAATGAATCAACAGCATTGTCGCTCATCACGCAACAACATGTCCTCTGTCGAAGAGTTTGTAAAGCTGTACTCTAGAATTGGATTTAGTAACAAGGAAATCGTTGCTCTTTTAGCACACAAACACAGTGTGATCATAAGTATTTGGACTCTGAAGTGACTGTGCTGAAGATTATGATGCAGATGCAGGGTTATCGATGGTTACACCTGCATGCTATACAGCGAGGCTACGTTGTATCACAAGATACAATAAGACAACTGATCAAGTTGATTGATCCTGAAGGCGAGGAGCACAGACGAGCCCAGCGTCTGAGGTGCAGGCATTACTGAAGTGGAGGAGACAATGCGCTCTGGCACATGGATGGCTACGACAAATTTAAGCCATCCGGCATTTCGACTTTTTCAAATTTAGAAATGGAAATTTAAAAAAATATTTTCTTCTCTTCTTGTGGCCTTTTTCCTCTTTTGTAGAGATGAGTCATTAGAGGTTTAGAAGAATTTTTGTTGGACAATATTTGCAAAATGAAGGTTTAAAAACACAAAATTTTAAAATATGCATGACGCAGCTGACACAGATGGTTTTGTGCACTATTATTTTGTGTTTTATTACATGGCATGAACTCAAATGTGAAAAAAATCTCCAAAAGACTGTCCAACTTTGTTTTCAACTCATGAATAAAAGACCAACAACAAGGACAGCTGTTAGAGATAAAACACACTCTGAAAGTATTTGTGGTCTTTTAACTTGTTTGCAACGTTTCGACCACAAATGCTCCTCATGGTGGAATTGTCTGATAAATTTGACTTGTTAAACAGAGAGCATTTTCTAAATAAATTCAAACTTTTTGCTTCCTCACCTTCAAATAGTTGTCTTAAAAAGAAAGAAAGCGCACTTTAGTTGTAGTTGATGGAATTTTTTCAGTCTCCTCAATGATTTTATTACTATCTCACCAGGAGGGAGCTCTCCCATTTAGTTCTTTTACGGAGCCACCGCTGGCTGTAAAAGAGAGAATATTGGTTTAATAAGCAGGTAATGACAGAGGAATGGCAAAGAGCAAAAAACGAGGCGTGGAGAAGTTAAAGACAGACGAGCAGAGTTAGATATGCAAACGCAGAGAAAGCAGAACCTAAAGGAGTAGCCGAAGAGGATACCTTGAGCTGTTTCCATGTTACTACACAGCGGCGTATCCCTGCTACGCAGACAGCTCTGCGGGCCAAACAGTGTTTTATTCATGCAAACGCCGTCACACACACACGCACGCACACACAAAAATGCGAGGACTCAAGGCTGTTCGGGCTGTTGCTCAATTATTCATCAAGCAGAGAAATGTATCCTGATTGAAGTTGCTTTGAACTTAGGGCATCATTTTTCACAGCCGTTTTTTTTTCTTCTTCTTCTTCTTCTTTATTTTCTCTGCTGTGTGTAAAGCAGCCCCAAACACTGCTGCAGCTCACAGCCCTCCTCCCCCGGCGGCTTTATGGCTGTTAATTTAAATCAATTTCAATTATTTATCATGCAAAAACCTATCCATGCTGAATTAGACCCTCATAATGCTTTAACAGTGAGTGAGCTATACCCTGCTGCTTAGGCATGGGATTTACCCATTTCATATGCAGGGAAATTCACTATTTCATTTTTGACATATTAGAAAACAGATGTGAGATTAGTGTATGCTTTCATTGTTAGCATTAGCATTGCAATTTCTCTATTGTGTTGTTACTCTATGCTTGAGTCCTCATCAGAAGCATTTGTCTCTGTCGCAGGAGGGATAATCATGCATCATCCATTTCCATGTTTATTTTTGCTCTTAAGCCCTATTAATACAGGATGAGGAGTACCTGAGGATCTCTGGTTGTGCGTGGTAATTGAGGAGGATGTGTGTGCTTTTTAATCCTGTGCACAGTAACATTTTAGCGACAAATCCCCCAGCATATTTCAGGATATAAAGAGGTCCTCTGATAATATTTGCCATCTTTGTAATTTGGGATGGAATTAGAAAGTATCCGCAGCTCATGTCTGCCCATTTTCCGGTCAAAAATAATGGAAAAATCATTTATAAAAGGGTTTAGAGAGCACTTTGGATGCAAATTCAGCTGGCTACATAGTTTTTTTTTAAATAGCCTTTTAACCCTAAGACATAAATAATTGAAAAAACAATGAAAGCTAAGGTCTTTTCTCTACCACTCACAGGATATTGTACCATAAGCATTACAACAACATGCAAAGCAAACAGTAAAATGTATCAGACAGCTCCATAACCCTGTACGCTTCATAGTTGGTGATCGTATTTACGTATAAGTTATAAGCCAAGAAAAGACCAAGGCCGTGACCGTCACACCTTCCACCACCCACCATAGGTGAACATGACATAGAGTTCACCGAAAACTTCACATGGAGACATGGAGAAAGACGTACAGACCAGAACTGGCAAAGCTGCAGGAGTCTTCCAATGACTCCGGTACATCTGGTCGTCGAAATCCATCACCACGGCCACAAAGCTACGCCTCTATTTGTCAGTGGTCATCCCTACAGCGACATACGCCTGTGAGACGTAGGCGAAGACAGCCAGCATCACCAACAAGTTGGATGTCTTCCATCGACGGTGCCTCAGATCCATCTTAAAGATATCATGGAGAGCCCACATCACCAATGAAGTGTAGCACCCTTGTCTGACATCGTCTCTGACAGGAGAAAGAGAATGACCGGACATGTACTCCAACTGTCAAGAGAGAGACCGGCAAGTGTGGCAATAGACTTGATGCCAGAGGGGGGAAAGAGAAGGAGAGGGAAGCCAAAGAAGACATGGAGACAAACAGCCAAGGAAGACCTGAGCGAGATGGGAGTCAGCTGGCATGGAGCAAGAAGGGTCGCTAGGGACCGGAGCAAATGGAGGGGACTCGTCGCCCAATGTTCTAATAGGAACGGAAGGAACTAAGTCTAGGTCTAAGTAAGTAAGGCAGTGTTTCCTGCACGATGCAAGCTGCACTATATAGCCTTTTAATATAAAATATATCAATATCTCTAACTATGGAAACAAGAGAAGAAAAGGTCAGAAACTGCTTTCTTGTGTGGTATCTTTTAAACCTTACATGACCTTAAGACTCGATTCTCAATTTTTTTATTCAGTGACAACTTTATCAAAACTTAACCAAACTTCACTCAACTGGACAGGCTGATCCCGCCTTCAGACAGACTTTGCAGCGGGGAGAGGTTTGCTCTTCATCTGAAACTGTGAAGCCGTACCAATTCAACACGACTGACTTACTATTGTCCAATTTAGCCATGAAACTATCACCGTCTTTTGCAGACGCCATGTTTGTTTACTCTGGTGTGTGTAGGAATTGGGAAGCACTACCACAGGAAGAGGGGGCCTATGGTGGCCTGGAAGCACGAGACATGATAGAGAGGAAAATGGATTTGACGATTTTAATTATTTTGACATCTTCATAATCAAATAGTCCAATTATGATTTAAGATCGATTAATCATGCAGCCCTAGTGTCAGGAGATAATTCATGATTTACCAGAAGTCCCCATATAAGTGCTTTACGCTGGATATGTGCTCCCTCATGTTTTTATTGAAGTATTTCCACCCCTTTAAAAAGTGTGTTTATGGAGCATCTTGTGCCTTGTTACCTCACTGTACCTGAAATCATGCCGCCCACACGGAGTAAAGATTTTTTGATTTGTTAGAAGCCAGAGTTATTCAAGTTGCAGTGGCTTAACACATGTATTTATTCCATTCCATTTTCTTCTGACACACACACACACACACATACACACACACACACACACACACACACACACACACACACACACACACACACACTCTTTTCATGTATATTTCTGCTTGCCTTAGGGGAATCCGGGCCTATTTTACCAGACTAACATGCTCTGACACCATGCTGGTCTGAGTGTCAAACTGCAGCTCTGTGGGACATGATGCCGCTGTCAAACATGCCTTCCCTCTTCTCCTGTCTCGACCACATTTTCCCTGTTTTTCTTTCTATCCTCTCTTCTGCTTTCTCTACCACTGGTACTCATTTTGTTTCTCTGGTCCCGTCACTTTCTCCTCTGATTTTCCCTCTAATTCTCCGTCTCTTCCCTATCTTTCCGAGGACAGGCTTTGCGGCCGGGACAGCAGGCTGGATCTTATTTCAGTGTCGGATAAAAATCCCTGGCAAGTCTGTCGTTCTGTCCCAGTGGTGGAATAAAAAACAGGACGCTTCATGTCACTTGGAGGCGAATGACACAGATTCCTCCACAGGCTCTCGCGCAGACGTAAGGCCTCCAATTAAAATGCCGTTATACGTGGCAGAGGTGCATGGCATGTTTGGGTTTGTTCGCACACCGCTGGGCTGCAGCCGAGCCTTTCATTCCGACTCCCCTTTGTAATGTTGTTTAATATGTATGTTTGTTTGAGGGTTCAGCAGTCCTCACAAAAGCAGAAAGATGAGAAACACACTCCGAAGGGAGGCCAGGCCTTGCTTGTGAGGAGTAGCTTTCTTCTCGCACAGTGTTTAGATTTCAGGTTAAATTAAGACTACTTTAAGGTCTGGGGGAAAGAAAGGAACTAACCTTAAACACTGACTGTGTTTACAGCAGGGATTTGCTCTTTTATGTTTTTGTTTTTCTCCTGATTTATAAAAGTTTAACATGGGTTAAACGTCTAAAACAAACCTCTTTATTCTCTCTGTATTTTCTCTAAAGTGCAGACACATTTGCTTCCTTGCAGAGTCTAACATTTGAACCCTGCAAATGCATTTGTTGTCCTGGATAATGGTTAACATAAATAAATATAATTTAAATGCATACGATAAATGCTAATCAAACCTGTTCAATCTTATTTGGAAATAGTAGAAAGCCTTGCAAAATTAACTCCTCAGTTAGCTGTGCAGTCCTGAGTTTATTAAAGAACTTATCAGACACAGGGCAACAGGGAGTAATGTTAGAGTTACTGCAGTATAGCACTGGGGTTGCTAACGTTAGCTCAGATATTAAACACACCAAAAATGGAAAAAAAAGACACTCAATCATTCAGATTGCAGCTAAGAGACTTACAGCAAATCTGGGCTCTGACAACAGGGATGAAGAAGACACAGTAGGGGTCGGAGTCAAGCAGGAGGGCTGTCAGACTCAAATATCTTCCCTGAGAACTGAGTGTTAATTAAGCTGCAGCACAGGGATCATTTGAGCTGATAAGTGTAGCCTTTTCGGATATAAGTTAGCTACGCAGCTAGCGGTAAAATTAGCTAACGCTATGAACAAGCTTTGCCAGCCATTAGCTGTTAGCATTAGCCCGAGACATCGTGAAGCAGATAGAGAACCTTGCCAGTCGACATTATTACCGGTGTCATACTCCAGTTCTCGTGACTGCTGTGATTTCATTGCCACTCTGTGATATCAACGTATGTTACTTTCCCATCGGAGCAAGTTTAAACTTCTCTACTGTCCTGCGAATAGTAACGCTATGTTTCTCAGCGCCTCCGCAGACTTAGAGTAAATCTGTTTAGAAGTTTTGCTTATTTGCCACCTTTTTCACATTTTGCTGTTGCTTTTCTTTGTTTGCTTTTGCAATGTATCATTTGTGCATTTGCAGCATATTTGCTTTGTACGCAGTAATTTTATCCTTTTTGTCGCACACCTTTGTGTTTCTTTCAGACTTTTGCACGTGTTTTTTAAAGGGATATAACGCCGAGTTGAACACCCCCTCGAGAGATGAATGTTGCCGACTTCTCTAGTTATACCAACTTTAGTAACAACCGCATGATTGCAATACACAGCGGTTTGAGGAGCTATACACAAACCTCAACCAAAACGCCACTCTATAGCCACAAATAATGCTCAGAACAGCACCTAACATCAAACATCTTTTTAACTTTGCCTAATTTCCTTAGCAAAGAGACTAAACACAACTCACCTACTCTCTTCCAGCAGCTGCTTGTTTGTAGCGAGACCTCAGGCCAGTCCATTACGGACTCCAGCAGGGTGACACAGCTCAAGGAAGAACATTTATGATCATTTCTTCATGGAAATGCAATCAGACTGAGACGCCAAGGCAGAAGAACTACCGTGTCTGCAGTGCAAAATGATTAATATGGCGATTATTTCTTCAAGGAAATTATTAAAAAATAATAATTTCTTTATCATGATCATGTCTAACTTGGTATTACGATGTGTTTGACCCCAAATTAATTTTACGCCGGAATATCCCTTTAAGTTGTGTTGTTTCTGCCTTTGCAGCACATTTGTCCTGATGATCGATCGGGCTGTTGATCCTTTCCCATGTCTGCTACCCTTGTCTGAATCACACGAGTATATTGTACTTGTCTGCCAGGAGGCTAAAGGCCCACATTTACTCTGTCTGCTTTAGATGCCACTGAGGCTATTTTTATTTCTCATAATCCATGACATGGACGCACATGTAGGTGATACTCCAATTATCTCCATAACCACCCACTACAAAGTTAACCATCATCGGCGCTGTCTGCAAACACCTGCTTGTAAACTCTAAACAGCTAACACACACTGCACACAGTCAGGAAATTACATTAAATAAATATAAAATATGAAAACAGCTTTGAAGTAGTGAACTCTTGCTGAGTTGCAGTTGCTTGGCTTGTTCCGTGTCTAGTAGTAAAGCTAAATGTTATGAGAGCAAGTGGAGGATGTAACATACAGGTATCTCTATTGCTCGTATGATGGTCCAAGTGAGGTCTGTCAGGGTACCTGCTTGTTTACCATCTTGACGGATGAGATATCTCCATTCATCATGCACATATCCAGCATGAAGGCAGACTGTGTGAAATATTGACATGCTGCCAGGAAGTAAACAAGCTGCCTTTTCCTGCTTTTGGGGACCAATCAAAAGTTTGGGCAAAGGACATGAAAGCGATAGGACGACATGTGGGGGCGGTATGTTTGTGTCCATGTTTGCATTTACATCTTGATGTGTGGGCCTTTGCCAAACCTGTAAGTGTGTGTGAGTAAAATCAGCGCGCCTGCATATGTTTTTAGCAGCGTTTTTTTAATAAAACGGTATCAAAGCAGCCATGAGTGCTGCATGGCACCCTGATAATCTGTACAGCCTCAGGCCTCTGCTGCTGCATTTGTTTCTGTGAAATGAAGAAAACATATCAGTTTCAAATGGAATTGCTACTCGGCAATCACAAACATGAAAACATGCCCCAGTCTTGTAATGTTTAATTCCCAGCCCTGATTTAAAAAGTGCGCACGCTCCTATCTCTGCAGAATAAGAACTAGGTTTCTGCCACAAAGGGAATCATCACTTTTAATACATAGGTTGTTGTTTTTTTAATCTGCTTGCATCACCACGGCTGTTACCAGGGGAACACTCAATTAAAAGGGTTACAGTTTTATTTCGTGGGCTCGGTTAGTGCGTTAGTAGTGGAGTGTGGGTCTTATCTCGGCAGCGGCTGACTGATTAGCATATTCCATCATGTTAAACAAATAGAAGACAATGAGGGCCTTAGGGACGCGGGGCAAACGTGTGCACAGCATACAAAAAGATCAATCTGTTTCCAGTGGGATACAAAGGCCTGTTGTTTGAGAGCCCCTCATTGGCTATGCATTAGAGATTGATGGAGTTCCACTGTTGTCAGA